GGAGCGGCTGGTCCTCGCGCGCTCGCTCAGAGTAGCCCATCTGCTCGTCGTAGGACTTGATCCGTGCGTGAGTAGACTGAGATTGACCCATGTCCGCCATCATAGGTTGCATGGGGTTGACTTCGCTAGCCAGAGCAGCGTCCGAGAGCATGTCGAGATTGCAGGCGGCTGCCCGAGCCTGCTGCATGCGGGCATCTTGAGGGAGAGAAGACGGTGCGGCGGCAACGATTGTATCCTGGTGATAATGCTGAGGTTGAAGCTGTTGGTGGTTGTGATGCGGCTGATGCTGCTGATGCTGTTGGTGCTGCGGTTGCTGATGTGCTTGCACTGGTGTGCGCTGAATGTTCAGCACTTCGGTTTCGGCATGACTTTCGGACGAGGAGGCCTGATGCCCACCGGCACCTGAAGATTTCCTCGGCCGGTATTCTTTTGGACCGCTATTTCCTTCATTGAGGTGGACAAGCTTTTCGTGGCGGACAAGGAGATCACTGATGTCCATGTAAGCTTTTGTCTTACAGAGCTAGCTGGTTGGGGTTGACAAAGTGAGGGCAGACGAGGGCACCGCAGATAGATCAAGACATGAGAGAACATGGGAAAGGGGGAGGAGGATGAGCGGGTGGGCGCGCCACAATGCAGAGGTACGAGGAGTGGTGAGGGGAGAAGGAGGAAGAGGCGAGGATTGCCATCTACGGAAAGGTGGGCTACAAAAACACACTCACCGGCGTCCGAATGTCTTTCCGCAACGGGCCCAACCGCAGGAGAAGGGTTTCTCCTTCGTATGAGTGCGCTCATGCCTTTGAACATGCTCCACACGCCTGGGGGGAAAAATGGCATATCAGCTACAGAAACATGGAAGCGTTTGGGATAAGGATGGACAGGAGCAACTCACCTAAAACGCTTGCTGCAGTACTTGCAGGGCAGGGTCTTGGGTTTCTGCTGGCGCTCGCCATTCTCGCCGGCAGTGGCGGCAGGAGGGCTGAGTCCAGGGCCCATGTGAGGAGGCTGGCCCTCAATGGACTGGTGAATGGGCATCATCCTGGAGCAAAATCAGGGCACAAGGGACGGCTGGGACGCTGGGAGCTCGGGGTCACGGTGCACACTGAAGTGGGGGGGCAGGGAGGAGAAGAGGGGATATGGTAGGAAGGCGAGGAGAGGTGGTGGAGGATGCGGTGGAAGGGGAGAGAATGGGGCCGCGGAGCGAACAGCGGAACCACTGCACAGGCTGCGGGGTGCGGCGCGGAGGAGATCGAGGGGATGGGAGGCTTTGGGGTCCCTTGGTCGATGAGATGGAAATAGCTTCCTCGGCGTTGTTGACGGCAAGGCTATGGACGTTTCCTGCCTTGCCCTGGTCAACGACCGGACCGGCTGGTCTGGGCGAGTTTTGCAAGAGCAACGGCTCGCTCACTGGTCGTCGATAGCAAAGTGCTTCAGCCGTCCCCTGGGGCCATGCGTACGGGTTGGCAACGGAGGAAGTTGGTTGATTGGGCTCGGAACGTGACAGGCCGTTCGGTGCCTTGGGGTTTGTTGTTGCGGGTGCGGAATGGTGTGTCAGTTGGGTCGAGGACGCGGGCGCAGGAGGGGTCCCAAGTAAACGAGTTGGAGACGCGAGCGAGGGTTGAGGATCAGGTCCCACGGCGGGACGGGGTAGGACAAGAGACGAGGATGCGATGATTGCAGTGTGGTTGATGTCGGCGGTAGTTGGAGTGACGAGTGTGTTGTGGGTGGCGGCGCAAAGACAAAACGCATGTACCCGCGGGAGTGGAGGTACACGTGGAGTCAACCTTGGGTGGGTGAGAAGCGATGTGTGAAGTGAGATGAAATGAGGGTGGTCGCAGAGAGGCCTGAGGGTCCGAGCAGGCAGGGAGGGTGTGGGATGGGAAAGGCGGGGGAATGGGGGACTTGGTGAGGAGACGGTTTGTTGTTGGAAGTGTCGGGGGAGGGCGAGACGCGGGGGGGTCGGCGAGAAGAGCGTTGTCGCTACCGTAGGTTGGTGACGCCGACTGGTCAGGACGGCGCAGGTCGGCACACGATCAAGTCGTCAGAGGTGGTGGTGGTGCTCCTGGATGATTCGTACGATGCCGCTGTTGGAGCTGCCGAGGCGAGTTGATCGGTGGTTGTGAGAGGCACAAGAGGTGAAGGAGAGTAAGCAAGCTGAGGTCGTCGGTGGTGCGAGGGCGAGAACGAGAGCCAGGGCGAGGTTCAATGAGGTACGGATGTACAGCGGGGAATTGATTCAGGCACGCGGGACGCCGAGGTCTGCCATGGGCGATCTGGTCGGGAACTCAAGTCCAGTGGCGGCAGCGATTGGTGTCACGAATTGAGTTGCACACCAAGGCAAAGCGGGGAGGTGGTGATGGCGA